TTTTGTACTAATGCCGTTACATCTAAAACTGTAGATGAAATTTTTTGCGTTTATAATCCTATAATTTTTATCCTCCTTTTAGACCCACTTCTATTTGGAATTTTTTTTGAAGATAAACTCAAGGTTTTACTCCAATAAATCTTTAAACCTTCCACTACAAAAATTTCTTCTACGCCCAAAATATTCAACTGTATTGATTTTAAACCACTTTATTTTGTAGTTTGGTATATTAAATGTATATGTGATGCATTTTTAACTAAATGTATTAACCATCATTTTTTGGAATTTTTCTCACTAATTTTGCGACATCACTCAAACTAATTTTTCTTGTTTAAAAAAATGTAACAACTTATGAATAAAAATAATAATTTATAGCATACTCTTGCTTGAAACATAAAAAGGTAACACCTTAATCAACAAAAGTAACAATGTTATGAATAGAGTTAATAATTTATGAACAAAATTTGACATTTTATAATATGGACCGGATCAAACGTAAAAGGTAAAAATTATTAAATATATATAACAATTTTATGAACAAATGTAATAATTTTATTCCAAACATAACATAATATGTATAAAGAGTAATAATGCTATAAACAATGATAATGATTCTTGAATAGCAACATAAAAATACAAATCTCTCTTTTTCTCCTCCTTTCTCAACTACCACATCTTCCCTTCACCGTTTATCTCTTCCCCTCTGTTCTCCAGTCGCCTCCTCTAACGGTTTTTATAAATAAAAATATAAAGTAAAAACAAGTTTCTCTCTTTATCCTCCTTCCTAAACCATACCTTTCCCCTCAGATCTATCTCTCCTCCCCTCCCCTTTGTCTTCTTATGTGCTCTTGTCCCCACTCTACTCTCCATTCATATCGTCCTTACACCTTCATTTGCATCCCATTATCACTCGGTGAAGAATGGGTTCTTAGGTTCATGGGAGGGTTGGTTCAAGGGTCTATAGGAGAGATGAAGGAAAAAAAGAGGGGAAAAAGAAGAGAATAGAGAAAAAAGAGATCAAGTTCAATGAGTTCATGGGAGAGATGAGAGAGGAAAAAGGAGAGGAAAATGAGAGGGAACGGAGAGGGTTAGTTCACATGAGACATTGGAGTGTATTTTGTGAATTTTCAAAAGTTCACATGGGCACTAGGGGGTCAGACGCATGATTGCTTTGGCTTGTAAGGGATTTATGCTTTTCCAAAAGGTGGTAGACTAATATTGTTTGGATTTCTATTTCTAAGGTGTCCAAATGCAATTTTTCCTTGTTTTAAACATCTCCAATATAGCTAATTATCAGCCGATGTATCCTTTTATAAGGTTTACCACAAAATGATATGGTCTTAATATCCTTTGCTAGCTTTAGAAAACTTTTGGATGATATGTCTCGACAGGGTTGATATATCAATCGATATGTCTTATATATTTTGTCGCGAAACAATATAATTTTGCAAAATTTCTCTAATGTTCTTTTAACATAAATTCCATCCTTCTACCGTTTTTAGCAAATCTTAGTAGGCTCTTTTCTGAAAGTAAGTTTCTACAATTGTAGTAATCCTAAACATATCTTAGTTATATTTTTGTATGCTTAGATTTCGTAAGTATGTTTAGATAACATTTTTAGGATATTGTATGACATATGCACATCATCTGATGTAGCACTCCGATATTTACTATATATCCCTAATATTTACTCGATATCTACAACCTAATATGGATTTTGACCGTTTGATTTTTTCTCGACATTTGATATTGAAAACATTTAGAGACCACTTGAAAAGCAAAGCGAAAGATGAAGACACTTTCTCCTAATTGCCAAAGCCTTAGAGTTATCTTCTTGTTTGTGGCCGGAGTCATCCCAAGATAGGTGATAACCCAGGTAAAGTTCATGGTGATAGGTACTGCATTTGATAACTATGCAATAGTTTAGAGATAGTCACACCAAGACTAGCTGTGATCATATCACGATGTCACATGTTGTGGATCTACACTAGGGGCAGTGGGGGCAATTGCCCCTACTAACCCCCATGAAATGTATCTATATCATGCTATTATCACCCTTTAGTTACACATCTACTTCTTTCACTTATAAATTTCTGTAGATATAAGATAGAGTTTACTTTGTTAAATGGGTGTAACTTTTAACATACTTGTTAAACACATATAGTTTTTACTTCTATACTCAAGTCGCTCCAATGTAGCTATCCTTATGTTTTTTTGTAAATTTCTAAATGCATGTGTAAATATCACCTCAATCATTAATTTTGCTCCAACTCCACAAGAGAGCAAACTTTTTGAACCTTACCACAAAATCTTATTTCTTTTTCTTTTTTAACTAATTGGTTGCTTAGCATCCTACTAATTTAATGAATAATTACATCACTTCTTTTCTAAAATCCATTCAAATTAGATTACCTTTTATGTAAAGTCTACAATAATATGTTTACTCTAATCGCATACACAATTTTGTAAATAGTTTTGTCAGTGATGTATTAAAAATATTTTACATTTATTCTTATATGGAAATGATGTTTAAAGTATATATTATTTTACTTATTTTATTAATTTAAACATTTACATTATGCATTGTGCATTTTTAGTAGAAATTCCATGTGTACACATTAAATGATAAATAATATAATTGACATGAAAGGCAGTGAATTGTTTAGATAAAAACTTATTGTTACTTGCACGTGTATTTGCACATGTCGATATACTAGTTTGTGTTAAACCCCTGTATCAATTTTTCCTTGCACTGTTTTACCCCTTGATCGCTTAGGCCCTTAGATTTTTTTTTAAAAATAGACACTCATAGTTAGTAATGGCGTGTCTAATATTTTTGGTAAAAATACTATATATTAGTTAACTTATAGTCTTGCCCCCAGTGGCTGAAGTTTATGGATCCACCCCTGATCACATAGAGATGAAGTTTCCTACTCTAGTAGACCGATGATAAGGGAAAAGAAGTTTAGGCATGACCGTATTATTATCTGTGACAGTATTGAAGGAGTTGAAGGAGAGGACGTAGAGAAGAAAAATGTATTATTTTCTAGAGGAACTTGGATGAGAACAAAGCCTTCGCATCTTCTCACAGTATTGAAGGAGTTGAAGGAGAGGACGTAGAGAAGAAAAATGTATTGTTTTCTAGAGGAACTTGGATGAGAACAAAGCCTTCGCATCTAGAGAAGAATTTTCAATATTGACCTAATGGATGATCTCAAAGAAGCTCAGGAGGCCATAATAGAGGATCTGGACAAATTATTGCTGGAGAATAAGGTTGATATGCATAAGGTGTAAATCTGACATATTTTATCTAGAGAAACTCGTAAACGTCTAATTGCCTTGTTATGGAGCAACTGGGGTGTTTTTTTCTTGGAAACCTACAGACATGTAGAGATCATCCTCCATGATAAAAGGAGATTGTATAATAGTTAATTATTTATTTATGTACTTGAAGTGGATTTGGATGGCCTCTTTCCAACGTTATGGATACTCTTTTCATTTGGTATAAGGTGACACCCAAAAGTTTAGGAATGGGTTCATTGTTGCTTATGCTTCTGAAGATACGAAGAAGAAAATTGGCAATTACAAATATCTTTTATACATTAAATTCAAATTAGGGCTTCATTTCAAATCTACAAGAATTACTCCATCATTAACAAATTTACACAAATAAGAAGCAGAGATGCCAGACTTGCTTGTCTCCATATTATAGTTTTTCTCTAAGGTAGGGTTAGTCAAATAGTACTCAAAACTAGAACTAGGATAATTTTTGGGATATAATTTTATTGTATTAGCCAAGTAGAACTAAAATTAGAACAAAATTTTACAGTGTTAGTTATTTACATCTGTAACAAAATTAGAACTGGGATAATTGGGTAATTTTATACAATTATCCCACCTTTTTTATTTTTCTATACAAAAATGAGAGTTCTACTCTCTCAAATTATCCCAAGTTTTAGTTTGAAACTAGGTGGTAAAAAAGTAGAATTCTCCTTTTTATTTTCATATTTTTAATTTTTTATATTTATTATATTTGTGTTTACCTCTTTCCTTCACGGTCGTCACATCATTAGATCATGCCATCAAATTGGATCTCGTCTCCCCTTAGTCATCTATGATATTTTCTTACTTTACCAAATATTATAATCCAATAATTAATTTAAAAGTAAATAAAGTACAGATCCATAATTTATTAAAAAAACAAAATTGAGAGATGAGGGCAAGAGATCTCGGAGAGCAAAAAACGAAGGAAAATGTGGAATTTTTAGACTTGTACTATAATAATTAAAAAAACAAAAAAACTACAACATATATAATAATAATTGCCAATATCTTATAGTATAACCAAAAGTGATGTAGTAATCAACATTCTAGTAAACAATTTCAACCAATAATAATAAGGTTAAAATACATATATAGTATTCATATCATCAAAATGCATGAATATACATCAAAAATTATCCAACATCATTTTATTAAAATATCCCACTTCACAAAATTGTTCCTAATTATTCCACTTAAATATCCCACTAGCAAATATTGTTCCACTCTAACAATTATCCTTATTCGCATGAAATTGTCCCGATTGACTAACACCTCCTAGGTAAAAATCACATCTTCCTTAAATAGTATTAAGAACATTCATTAACGTGTCTTCATGTGTAAAGAATTTTTATTATTTGTTGATGCTCTTGTTTCTGGTTGCAGAGAAGTAAATGTCTGCAAACTTTAAATTTCAGTTTATGATGGACATTGTTAATTTTTGTAATTTTCAGTTTATAATGGACATTGATAATTTTTCCCAATATAACGTCTATTTTCATGTTCTCTAATATTTATGTATTAGGATGTTTAAATAAACTAAACTTTGAATGTTAAAAATAACATGAAGGAATACGATACTCATTTGAACCAACCAAATTCGACCTTAACTTCTTACTTGTGATTATGGATACAAATCCAAGCTATCTGGATTCTAACTCTGTCCATCCTACATGAAGTACATGGGAGAGATTGGGGCTAATTTTGAAGTATACCGTAACGATGAACTCACGGTGGAAGAACTGAAAAGGTAAATCATCATGTTTGGCTGTAAACTTAAAAAAAATTATTTGTTTGATAGACTCATTAATTGGGTTAATACAGACCTCAGAATCAGATTACTGTACATTTGTTTTGCTTAATTTAGAAATCTGGACTTTTTCGTACAGGAAAAATCCGAGGGGTGTACTTATTTCTCCAGGACCCGGTAAGTGTTTGATCATACATGAAGATGAAGATACTTTCTTCACGTTACAGTGGCAATAAGCATTGTTGTCCTTTGTCATCTAGGTGCACCTCAAGATTCAGGGATATCATTGCAAACTGTTTTGGAACTTGGGCCTTCTATACCCCTATTTGGAGTTTGCATGGGCTTGCAATGCATTGGGGAAGCTTTCGGAGGTTTGTGTGGTGTCTCTGTCCAGGTTGCAATCTTAAATCTGTAATATAAATGACTAAGCTTAAAGCTCACTGAACTGCAGGAAAAATTGTGCGTGCTCCTTCAGGTGTTGTGCATGGCAAACATGGCATTGTGTACTATGATGAAAATCAAGAAGACAGCTTATTTAGTGGCTTATCAAAGTAAGATTGTCCACGCTACATTTCAACGTTTACCACAGCAATGCACTTCTTTCAGAGGATGGTTTCTTGATTGATTGTTAGCAGAGAAAGTATCTTCACCAATTTCCCTTTTGCTTACTAGTTTTACATTTTTTACAATCATAAAGTTTGTCTTATCCTTCATTTTTCATTTTGTTTTTCATATTGTTTTTCATATTGTCCTATATAAGAATTGATGTTCATATTAACTTATATATATGCGTTCCTGTTTAACTTCATGTAGTGCCACTGTTAGCATATAAGGTCATGCAAGCATGCATTCAGATTACATGCACAGAGTTCTATATCTAGTATCAGATTTCCTCTCCATGAGAACATATAAAGGATCCTGCACAGTTCATGATATTCCATTGGAACCTGACACCTATCTTAATCATAATCAGGAAATAAATGATTCAGAAACCAGTACATCAACAGAAATGACAGGACGTGGATCCTTGCAATTCATCTATTCACTCGTGAATTTTGAAAATGATCTTTCATCTCACTGGATTTAACTAGCAGAGCATTTGCTACCCAGCACTTGGTATTATCTGGACATTGACATTGGTATGAAGAGTATCCTGGTGGTTTAGGGCATGAGGCACAAGAAATGTTAACCAATACGACACAGGGAGGCACATGGGCAAAAAACACATGTTCATCCATATATACTTTACGTTTGCATAGTACGTACATAGACATATATTTCTATTAGTTATATACTTGATGACACTATACGCCCTTGACTGTTATATTACATATCATGACATAGTTATGGTTAGAAACAAGTTTAAATGACAACAGGAGTAAAATATGACATTATTAAGATGGAAAATATCTTCCATATTGCTGCAACAACTCCGTGTTGTTAACAACATTTTTGGATTGTGCATCCATCTTTAACTGATAATACAAATACTATTGACACTTTTATTTATTGTCACAGTCCTTTTGTTGCTGGTAGATATCATAGCCTTGTCATTGATAAGGAGAGTTTCCCTCATGATGTTCTTGAGATTACAGCTTGGACAGAAGATGGCTTAGTAATGGCTGCTCAACACAAGAAGTATAGGCATATCCAGGTACATGAACTAGAGACACTCTTGTCTCTGAGGCTTGGTAGTGACCCCATATTCTATTGAATTTTAGAGAAATCTCCTTTATTTTGTCTGGTTTTGCAGGAAACCCCTATGTTTGATTTGGCAGAAAATCAACCTATTATAGGGGTAATCTTAAATAGAAAAGGGTCCTTTTTTTGGTAAAATTTGGATAATATCAAAAAGGGTTGCCTTCCAATGCCATAGATTTTAGGAGTTTTTTGCAGGACTCAATTAAATAGAGGAAGCTTGCTCCTAACTTTGATAGCATGGGAGGCTTGTTCTTCATTTTATCTTTATATCTTGATTTGCTGATCCGATTATTTTTACTGGTTGACTAATATGCATAGCTGAGAACTAAAATTTGCAAAAACCTTTTCTAATTGAAATACATATTACGTTACGAGGCCACACAACAATAAGTTATGGAATGAATTCTGGTACATCATTTTCTCACAAAAATATTTACTTCAGCTGCAGGATATTTATGATCATCTAAAGCTCGGGATTTAGCCCTCGATGCCATGGGAGGGTCTTTTTATTTCTTCTTTTTATTTAAATTTTTTACATGGCACACCGTCTTATGTAAAGGATCCTTTCACATGTATACTCAATGGGCATATTTTGTCGTGTTTGAGACAGAATTTCAGAATTTTGAAAGCTAGCAATGATACGAGTCGCCGTGCGAGCACCCTTGGTCGCAGAATTACCTAAGGTGGGTTGAGAAGAAGACGATAGAAAATACAAGAACAATTCAATATGCGAAGAAAAATATCTTCTCTAGATTATGAAGAATCAAAGATTACAAAATCTCACCCTCACAATCTCATTAGAATAAAGAACAAACTCTCTATTTTCTTTAAACCCTAATCACTTGATTAGAATTTCTCTTCTCTCAATCTCCTTTAAGAATACAATTTGATTCCTTAGAAACCCTAAAACAATCCTATTTATATCCCTAACAACGTGGATGGTAATCTTGTAAATAACCAGTCCAAATAACCAGTCCAAACAAATCAGAAAACTACGTCAAAATGGAGTTCCAATTGGAGCTGGAAACCCGATCCGGTCGACTAGCATAGATGCCGCGGTCGACCGGCCAGAGAGGGGTAAAAGTCATCTTGGCGCTACCCTGTAATCGGTCGACCGGAAGAAAACTTCGGTCGACCGAACCCTGCTTCTGGTCGACCGACTGAGATGTCGCGGTCAACCGGCCAGAGCACACCAAAATAACCCTGTAACGTGTATGAAATCGGTTGACCGACCAACGCCTGAGTGCTAGTTCCTGATTTTTGTTGTCTTCTTATTTTTGACCGTATTTGCCGTCTACAACGACTTCGTCCACGCTTATATTCTCAAAATATCATGAGAATCATCTATCATCAAACTCCTATGAGGATCGCTAAGCTCCCGAAGCAAAGAAAAAGACACCCGTATCATGGCTCTCTACTTTAGGAACTTGAAGTCCCGTTCAAGTTAGAACGTTAGCTGAGGGAACTCTTAAGCCCCTCATTCTTTTCTAAACCACGTAGCCTTGCTAGGAATCTGGTCTTGACGTCCGATCGAAACGAATCCTTCGTTTCGTGTCTCGTCATAGTCACCTTCCACTCTAATTTGCAACCCACTTTTAGTGACTCCTCATAAGATCTAATACACAACGATACAAACTTCTTACTTATATTCACTAGCCTCTTCGCTCGTGTTACCGTCCCTAAGTTTGTCTCCTTTGAAAAAGAAGCCGAACGAAATATGAATTTTTCACCATATTTGGTGAATGTGTTCTTCTGAGTCCGCCTCTCGTAGATTGCGTATCTATCCCACAAATAGGGATTGTCTAGTATAACCTGACAAACATCCAATGGAACTACGTCGCACGTGACCTCATCAATATACGACTCATGGAGCGTAAATCTGAAAATGCATTAATCAACTACACTTAATCCCGGCTTTTTCTGAATCCACCCTAATGGATAGGACTTTGGATGCTTGACTGTCTTCAGACCCAGCTTCTGAACCAAGACTTTGGATATTAAATTCTTCTTGCTGCCTGGATCAACTATGATATCTACCAAACTGATCATGACTTGCAACTTAAGAACAAAGAGCTGTTCTCTAGGGTCGTCCTCCCTCGTGGCCTGTTTTCTCGTCATAAGATTGAGACTGTTATTAGGTTCTGTCATTCCGGAAACTTCTTTCGGACCCTGAGCTATCACATATGTTTTTTCTCCTCCTTCAACCCTCTTGGCTTGAGATGATAATACTTTTCCTAGCACCAATCAGTTATATGTCCTGTCTTCTCGCAATGGCTACAAATCAACCCTGTTTTTCCTGGATCACCCTTCTTCTTCTCCTCCTTAGATTGAGAACCACTAGATTCGCTTCTAACTTGTTTAGCCTCTCCTTTGGACTCATTGCTCTTCTTTTGTTTTCCCTCAATGGCAATAGTCTTCATGCTCGCTTCTGCAATGGATTTGACCGTGAATAACTTCATCTCCTTCCGGATGTAATCGCTCAATCCCGTCATATACTTCATAAAGACCGAGTACTCCTCCGTCGTAATGTTGAGGACCATCACCTGTTGCTGAAACTCAGTCGTGTATTCTTGAACGGTTTGATTAACTCTTTGACGCAAACTGTACCACCTGTACTAACGCTCCTTAAGGAATCCCACTAGGTAGAACTGCTTTCTCAGTAGCTCCTTGAACTTATTCTACGACACCGCCTTCCTCTCCTGTTTACAGTTGGATTTTTATCATGTCAATGCATGCATTGAAATCTTCAAAGTCGCGAACACGATCTTCTCCTTGGATGAATATCCATAGAGGGTAAAATATGTCAACATCCGCTCGATCCAATCACCAAACCTCTCGACATTGACACTCCCATCATAGACATGAATTTTCATCTTGAAGTCTATTTTTAAATTCTGGTAAGAACCCTTACCCCTTCACGTGGAACAATCTTAACGTCTTCGACCTCGTTTGAATCTGAATTCTCATCCTCCCCATCAAATTCTACAGGTCTCTTCTTTGACCCCGACGGAGATTCGATCTTCTTGTCGCCTCCTTGGATGAGATCTACGAGTTTGGTAAGTGTCGAACTGATTGCCTCGACCTGCTTTTCTAATGCATTAAGTCTTACTGAATTATCCCCTTTGATCATCTTCTTCTTCATTGATTTCTGGACTTCTTCCAAAGATAAAGATCTCGCCTAGCTTCTTGTATTGCGATCGAGTAAGGATCATACACAAGATTCCCCCTTTTTCACAAGATCTGATTTGCTCTGATACTAACCTGATACGAGTCGCCGTGTGAACACCATTGATCACAGAATTACCAAAAGTTGGTTGAGAAGAAGACGATAGAAAACACAAGAACAATTCAATTGGTGAAGAAAAATATCTTCTCTAGATTATGAAGAATCAAAGATTACAAAATCTTACCCTCACAATCTCACTAGAATAAAAAACAAACTCTCTATTCTCTCTAAACCGTAATCACTTGATTAGAATTTCTCTTCTCTCAATCTCCTTTAAGAATACAATCTGATTCTTTAGAAGCTCTAAAACAATCGTATTTATATTCCTAACAACGTGGATGACAATCTTGTAAATAACCAGTCCAAACAAATCAGGAAACTACGTCAAAACAGAGTCCCAATTGGAGCTGGAAACCCGATCCGATCGACCGGCCAGAGGTGAAAAAACCATCTTGGCGCTACCCTGTAATCAGTCGACCCCGGAAGAAAACTTTGGTCGATCGAACCCTGCTTCCGGTCAATCATAGAGATGTCGCGATCGACCGGCCTGAGCACACCAAAATCACCCTGTAACGTGCATAAAATCGGTCGACCGACCAGTTTGGTCCGGTCGATCGACCAGCACCTGAGTGTCAGTTCCTGATTTCTGTTGTCTTCTTGTTTTTGACCGCCTTTGCTGCCTTCAACAACTTCGTCCACGCTACTATTCTCAAGATATCATGAGAAATATCTATCCTCAAACTCCTATGAGGATGACTAAGCTCCCGATACAAGGAAGAAGATACACCCGTATCAAATAGCCTAGCACTAACTCAGACACAATCTTTGGTCTCTTGAATTTTGTTATAGCATTGAAGTGTGATAAATATCAGGCAAGTGTCTTTTAACTGTTTACACCATGTGTCAGATATTGACTCGGGAGCTACGCTTCATAGTTTTCATAAGATCAAACTCTTCGATCACTTTTGAAATCAGAGGTTGTCATAGTAATGATTTGCTTGATCTCATATTTATTGTATGGAAAATTCACTTGGCAAAGTGCAATGTTTTAAAAAGCCTCCGTCTAGACCGCCTAAGGGTCTGTTTGTTTGCACAGAAGTAATTATGAAGTAGCTTTTGCTACTTCCAAGCAAAAAAAAAATTTGTTTCTTCGAAAAACTTATTCCAATATTTTCTTAAACGCTGATGTGACGCCTACATGTCATCCTTACTTTCAAAATATTTTTCCACCCCTCAAGACCCGAAAGTAATTAGGAAGTAAGTGAAATACATATTAATTAGGAAATAACTAATTTTTCTTATTAACATTTTTTTTATTAGTTACTTCCTAACAACTTTTTATTTCTATCCAAATAAATAAAGAGATTGAAGAATAATAATTACTATTTCCACTACTTTAAATAATATGTGAAACAAACAAAAAAAATACTACTTCCAGTTCCACTAGTTCCTACTTCATAAATTTACAACTTACTTCTTTGATCTATTTTCTACTTCCGATATTTCTGTCAAACCAACGGGTCCTAAGCGTATGCCTAGGCGTAGGCGGTATGTAGGCCGCCTGCCTAGCACCTAGGCGGTATCTGGACTACCCACCTAGGTTTTGGAAGCGCCTAGGAGAGCGTTGTCTGCTTATGTCATCTGTTTATGTGAACTACCCCCTTCAGGCCTTGATTTGATATCCTTCATTGCAGCCTCCACGCCCTCCAACCTCCTCAAGCCTCCAACTATGAACACTTTCTCTACCTTCTCCGACTTTTAAAATCTCCGTCATCGCTAAAATGAAGAAAGAAATTTTCCTAGGCATCAGTTCGACACCTAAGCTTTTTACAACGATGATATTTATTATCAATTATTGTAATTAAAAAAAGGAGAATCGCCTGGGCCCCGTCTAGACTCCTGCTTAGGCTCTAGATGTTAGGTCCAGTGCCTAGACCACCTAGCGGCAAAGTCATGACATGAGACTCTTCTAATGAAAAGCAAGAAGTAGAAGTTTAAGTCCATGTAAATGCCTAAACAATCATGAGTGATTCAGTTAACTCTTAAAAGTTAGGGTAAGCTACTCAAGGTGGACCTACATAGTGACTGTGTGGCTAAAGCTTGTACTAGAACTTCACAATATTTGAAAGCCTGTTTAGAACCTTACTTCTTTACGCTCAAGCGGTTAGGCGTTGGTTGTAGCAGCTCCTAAGGCGGAGCTCAACTGTGGCCTCCTTTTTCTTTTCTTCTCTTTTTAGTCTCTCTGACACAAGACACAGTAGTCATCACGTTAGTCGCAAGTTGGTGGCACAAGAAAGTTTCCCATCCTAAAAGGCTAAAACAAATACTTGTTTATTGTCACCTTATCCAATTCTTTTGGTAGCATGTTAGGTCAAGAATTTATGGGGGATTTATGAAGCAAATAATTAATGACAATTTTGAATTTTTATAAAATAATTTCAAGATTGAAATTATATGAAAGTAAGAAGATATTTTAAGTTGTGTTTTTCTCAGAAAGCTATTCAGATTACGTACTGATAATAATTAGGATATAGTTAACAATTCAAAAGATCATACCATATATTAATTTAATTCTAAAAGTCGTAATTTTTTAAAGATGAGAGTCATGGCCTTTCCTAATGAGATTTCAAGAGATCCGACAACAATTGATCTTAACAAATCTACCTCGATATATGTCTTGGAAAATTATAGTTTTCGACTCACATTTATGTAATTATAATCCCCGTAAAAGTCTGTACTATTTTCCATTATGCCCATAGTAACTAGATTCCCTTGATTGGCCATGAACATTGCTGGTTCATTTTCCTAGTATATGATTATAATACGTAAGCAAAAGTTAAGTCAATCTCACACGATTATCTCTCGCCTATAAACTGCTTCATCTCTGAACATGTTGTCTTGTTATGTGTGAGTGACTGACTTCTCTTATCAGTAGCGGTTCATTTAAAAGTACTTGACATGATTTTTCCAGGCATGTTTAAATTCCTCGCATAACATTAATGTCATATACCAGAATGGATAGATTGAGCGTGGGAGAACACAACACCTGTCTTTATCTATAAATGAGACCACTGGGCATCATATATTAAATGAGAGGATTCTCTTATATACAGTGATGTGGATGAATCTAAACGAAGTTTAGTTAGGGTAATTCCCCTTTAAATCACTTACTGAGATTCAATCATCTCACTTACACACAAGGTTTTAAATGTCGGTCGACATATCCGACACGTCGGTTTGAGGGCTTGAGCGACACGACATGAGCGTTTTCAACTCATATGTCGGTTTTCAGGGCTAAATCAGAAAATATCGGGGTGATATCGGGCATATCGACCGATTTACCCATTCTCATGTTTAAGGGTTTATTATGAACCCGATAGAAAGAAAAGAGAAAAATTAGGACTGTAGCGGATTTGGAAACCGATCACTCCTTTCGTGAACGACGACACCATTCCCATATCTCCATCTCGGACCCCCGTCGTCCATCTCTCGTTGCGTTCCGAAATCCGAACCCCAACTGAACCCGAGAGCGACAGGGTATCCCGTTGTCGGGATAAAGAAAAGAGGGTGGTCGGTGACTTATCCGAAGGACCCCGAGCAGACGAAGAAGAAGAAGAGCCCCGACAAGGCGACACTGCCTCCTTGTGACGTCCAATCGGCGGCACTGCCTCCTTACGACGTCGGAATCCACCCATCGCCAGCACCGCCTCTAGAATTTATAAAGTACTGCCTCCTTACGACGTCGGAATCCACCCATCGCCAGCACCGCCTCTAGAATTTATAAAGTATATGCTTATATTGAATTTAGGAATGCTTAGATTACATTTAGGACATGATATTATACACATGCGCACCACCCAATATGGCAATCCGATATTTAGTCCATATCCCCTGATATATTCCCGTTTTTCGCTATCCGACGTGAATTTCAGCCGTCCGACATGAACCCGACATCTGACATTTAAAACCTTGCTTACACATGATGACATCCTCAATCTAATTTTTTTCTGCATTAGAAAATATTATTGATTCTACTGATCATGGCCTATAGCTATTTCTGCTCTTCTCCTTTTTTCTAATTGGATCCATGTTTTTTAATAGAGAAGTACACATGTATTCTCATTTGCTCTTATGTTTACATAGTTGATTCCAGCCCAAGATTTAGGTTCTCATGTTGTAAAGCATTTACAAGTGCAGGCAGCTTTGATTTCTAAACTTTACCCAATGCTTCTCTATGAATATGTTTTGCAATTTGATCTGTGTATAGATTTGCAAATTTATGGTTACAAGAGATGCTACCAACCTGATGACTTTATCATCTCCTTGGAAATTAGGATGCTTTTATGAGCTCAAAAGAATAAAGTTTCTGGAGGCATCATGCATTGACTGAACGAAGTGGTGCATCATGATATTCATTCTCACGCTCGAGTGTAAACTCATATGTTTTGCATGAATATGTGTTTACGTGAGCATGTGAAAACCATGATTAGTTTTTTCAAGTGACAATTTATGTGTATTTGTGTCTCAAAGTTAATTTTGATCTAATTTTAATATTATCTAAGACATTGTCCATGTGGATAAAGTTTATGGACATAACAATATAGGATATTTATAAGTCTTTATTTGCACTTAATAATAGAATATTAGAAATCCATATAATTATGTACAGTTACCTATCACAATATTTGTGTTCATTTAGGGAATCAGTGGTCTATTTAATTGCCAGTGGTCTATTTAAGGGCCTGTTTGTTTGCATGGAAGTAATTATGAAGTAGCTGAAGTAAAAAAAGTAGATGCTACTTCCAAGCAAAAAAGTGTGTTTGGTTATCTGAAAAACTTACTTCCAATACTTCCTTAAATGCTTATGTGGCGCCTACGTATCATTCTTTTCCAAAATATTTTTCCAATCCTCAATACTCAGAAGTAGCTCGGAAGTAGTTGAAATGCATGTTAATTAGGAAATAAATAATTTTTTTATTAATATTTCCTTTATTAGCTACTTCTAACAACTTTTCATTGATAAAATTACTCTTAATTGTAACAATTATTTTATAGTAATTTGTGATGATCGTCGGTCAGCTTTTCTTTAGGATGAAAAGAATAGTTTGTCTATTAATTCTTTGTCTAAATACCACGTTGATGTTACCATCAAAGGAGCGAGGGAGGAGGAAATTGGAGATTCATTGGAATTTATGGTCATCCGGAGTCTCATCGTAGATGAGAGGTAAACAATTATTTTGAAGCTATGTGGTTGGAGGATTCTTCTTGCTCTCAAGTGGCGAGGGGTCATAGTGGCATGAAACTGGCGTGGCGTGGCTTTGAAATTGTGGAAGCAACATGTGTTAATTACTTCCTAGTAATATTTTCAAATGTTATCCAAACAAAAATAAATAAATAAAGAGGAAGAAGTTCTACTTCTATTACTTCTAAAAATATATGAAACAAACAAACAAAATGGTATTTCCACTACTTCCTACTTCTTAGTTTTGAAAGTTACTTTTATAAACTACTTCTTACTTCCAATACTTTCATTATCCAAACGGGCCCTAAGTGCCGTGTTAGATTTCTTTCTCCCACCCCACCCCACCCCACCCCCCAACAATAAAATAAAATAAAATAAAATAAAATAAAAGAGGAAAAAAAACAGAACGAAGGTGCTTATATGACAATCTTCCCTTATCATCTAACTTTGCCTTGGCCTAGGAGAAAATTAGAAAATTATTCCGTACTGCACAAGCTTAAAATATATCAGCAGACAGGGTCCTCTCGCCATTAGTTGTTTCTTTGAAGAGTCTGCCCTAACTTGAACATGCTTGATGTTAGTTGAATATTAGTGGGCAGAGGGCTGAATAATCAGATGAATTAAAACTTATCCTAAGCAGCTGACACCATCTTAATATTTAGATTGATCTCCCTTTTGAATCTTTTATTGCAACAGAAGCAATCCCTCTGTAAATGTTGCCATCATAGGCATTTTGTAGCCTTTCAGGCTACAGTCATATGCCAAGAAACGATCTCTGTGAATGTTTTTTTTTATGTTCTGTTAAACTTTTTTGTTTGGCTAGTTGCTTTGTCTGTTAAATCCTTTTAGCTGTCTTTTTTTTGTCAAAAGTAGTGTACTAATTTGTAGAATTTTTGATGATGCAGGGAGTACAGTTCCATCCAGAGAGCATCATAACCAAAGAGGGCAAGACAATAATAATAAACTTCATCAAGCTCATTGAGAAATTCGAGATGAAATCTCAACACTGAAGATTTTAGGCTGTATCCAAGAGAAACTTCTCGCAAGGTGAATGAAAGGTTATCCTTATTTGTCGTGGGGCTACATGTTGTGTTTTGTTGTGAAAGAATAAAACATCTGTTGGTCATAATCTTCTGTAGCACAATAACCCTAGTTGATTATATGTAATTTTATCAGAAAAAGAATGCCTTTTCTTATCAACTTGTTAGTCAAAAACTGGACCTTCACTAGCATAAGGGCATGGCTATAACTAGTGTGTTTTAATAATCTCAAATGAAGTTTTTGCCTTCTTGCTTTTCCCTTCTCTTTCTTTAGTCAGTTTTCAAGCTTGTCGTTTTGATCAAAACAGAACTAGATGACATGTGATTTCTTCTTTTCTTATATATATTTTTAATTTCTGATTGATTGCATTAGAACCCGTAGAGAAGAATGTATGAGAGTGGCTTGTCTCTTTCATTTCCAGCGAACGATGAACTACCTCACACTTGGGGACTGGTTAGTATGTTTCCATGGCAGATGTACACAATTAAATCATGTTGTGCTTGTATCCACGATCTGTATAGTTTTGGTAAACAAATGCATGTAGAAAGACCACCAATTTGGGTCGACGACTTGGGTAGAGTTCGATGTATCCTTTTGAGCCTCTTAATATACCATCTCATGGTTAATATCGTAATGACTAGGTAAGCATTCCATAGGTGATTTAGTTTTTTTTTTTTTTTTTTTTTTTTTTTTTTTACCCCCAGTTGTATCCCCATACAATATATAATATATAAAGGTTGTATGTGAAATCTACGTTGATAATTTTACAAGTTTATGCTTCTTAGTGGCATCCAAAGTCTGTGATATCTGAACACTGCTCCACCACTGAATACATCGCTTACTAAGAAGGTCCACCAAGATTGCACGGTGAGTGGCATTCACATGATTTTTGTATGTAGCAAAACTGCAACCGTCACGGATCGGATTGCAGGAGCTATGTGGTTGGGAAAATAATATGGGAATGTCCCCAAGTCATTTCAGGTAGGGGTGGCAAACGGGTCGACCCGACCCGACCCGACCCATATAAAATTTGACCCGACCCGACCCGTTTAATAAATGGGTCAATATGACCCGACCCGATTATTAAACGGGTTACCCGACCCAACCCATATAACTAGAATGACCCGTTTATCAAATACAAGACACATCCTAACACTTATAACTAGTAAAAATTTTTATACATACACAAAAGAACACTTCTTGCAAGCTCTTTAGACAAAAACTCTCTCTACTTACAACATGGATTAATTTCAAAGACATATTCAATATTTAAATGTACTTCAACGAATTGCAAATATCGACAAACAAAAATACATCGATGCAACTCTTTAGACACAAAATAATCTAAACTAAGAACTAGCATCAAAGAATTTAACACAAGTAAATAAAGAGAATATACACAAGTTTACAACAAAATAGTTAGGAACTTGATTGCCATTATCATAGTACATCTCCAAATTTACAAAAAATGCAATTACAGTTTACAAAAAATTTAACTGTTTCATCTCCAAATTTACAAAAAATGCAATTACAGTTTACAAAAAATTTAACTGTCCCATCTCCAAATTTACAAAAAATGCAATTATCGGGCATCGAATCTCGTCTTATCTGCCCTCAGCTTCGTCTTCTCGTCTCTAAGTTCGTCTCTAATCATAGGGTCTTTCATCAGGTCGAGGGTTATCGGGCAGCAAAACTCGTCATGGATGTTTAAGACCATGGAATTGCATGAAGGTGACGATGACACGGACCAAGACGATGATCGGTTTGTTAGACCCTAGAGGGGGGGTGATTAGGGTCTTATGCTAATCTAATCCGATTTAAATGCCAATTAAAACTAATTAACAAGTTATCCTAGCAAGTATGAAATACCACAAGATATGTGAGCTAGGATAAGCAATGTAAACAATGAGATATATCCTATATGATAAAATATATTGTACAAGTGTATTACAAAGTGTATCCTCACAATTAAGGCTCAATACAAAGTGTTTGTTCTCTACAATGGATGAGAACGAATTGTAAGCTCACTCTCTAAGATACACAATCTCACAACCCAATTATACTATGAATGTAAATACAATAAGCTCAATAGGTTGTGTGTGAACAAAGAGTATCAATAAAACAATTAAACTCAATATATAAATCTAGCTTATGGAAATTAAGATCAAAACAATAAATAGCTAGAATTGAGTTTAAGGAAAACTTCTCTATAGATCAAGAGTGAGAGAGAGATGAGTTGAATGCCCAAACACCAAAGAATGATCTCCTCTTTGCTCTTGTGAAATTTGCTTCACAAACTAAACTCAAACAAACTCTTAAACTCTTTTAAACAAAACTTAAACCCTTGATTAAAAACTTTCTTAAACTTGTTTTAAAACTCTCTTGGCTAACTTGAAAAGACATCAGCAATGGGGTATATATACCCACTCAAAGCTCAGCCAAAAACCCCAAAACGAAATGACCAAAAACCCCAGCAAACAGCTCAGAGAAAGAGCCGTTAAAAAGCAACGGCTATATTGTCGGTCGACCGAAATTTTTGTCGGTCGACCGGCAGAGAGCAAAAGCACGAAGAAGAGTTCTGGACCTTCGTCGGTCGACCGGTGCGGTCGACCGATGGAGCTTTTCGGTCGACCGGACCGGTCGACCGACCAACTCTCTGGACCATGCTGACGAAAAAACAAACGAGCGGTCGACCGGTGCGGTCGACCGAAAACAGATATGACAGGTTCTGAAAAACTGTTTGTCTGATTTTAAAACACTGTTTAAAAATATCAAATAAATTCAGAAAAATGTAAAACTTTGGGAAATGATTGTAGACATGATAATAAACATGCTACAACGACTGGTTTCGAAAAAGGACTTCCCAAATGAAAAATATCATCATTTTTTCAAATATGTTCAAAAACATGAAAACCTGAAAGTTGATATTTTGATATTTTGACTTAAACAATATTTTGAAACCTTATGAAATGATTGTATAGACTTGATAAAAGATATAATATGTTGTTATGAAGTCTATAACCTAGAAATACAATATTTTCATAAAATTGCATATTCTATGCAAATATATTCAAAACACTAAATATGATTTCATTAAATATAAGCTTGTTAAAGGTGAAATCATATATAGGCATATAAACATGAAACAAAATAGTATTTTCCAATTCTATTCATTTGTTTCATAGTAAAACTTGAAAACTATCAAACCAAAACATATATGTATATATATAACTATATATATACAAAAACCAAAACGTGTATGTGTGTATATGATTGAGCTTAAAGTACTAACACACATAATATAAATTCCTAAACTAAATTACCCAAGCAATGATCTTGATCTTCAATAAGCTTGACTTGGTAATCTCGCGGATGAAGCTTGAACTTGGATCTTGAACTTTGAATAGCAAGGCTTCACCGACATTCCGCCAACCTCCTTTGGATATGATCGTTGAAGCTCTATTCCATCCATCCTCCAACAACGTTGTTTGTCTATAATAAATAAGAAAACACAAATACTAGACAAACAACATTAGTGGTAAATTGTTTGTTAAACATCATCAAAACAAGAAGGCCAACACGGTTGGCTGCCCTGCAACTAAATCTTCCGAAAAGAAATCAATATAGTTCAATGTTGTGCCTCGACTTTTCAAATGCAAGCTTGCCTGCCGGCAAAAATATACCATAATGAAATCCACAATCATCCTCTGTGACCAGTATCTGTTAGCTAAATAGAACACCAGCAAATATATATCTTATTCCGTGTAAACTGGGACCGTAACACATAAATTCCATGCAAAACACAAAGATCCCAAAAAAAGAAGAAATAGATTACTGAATGCGAATACAAATAATATGAAATATACATACAAAAAATTTCAAAGGTATCAGCAGGGACATAGCATACGTCCAGACTGAGCATCCTTCCTATGCATTTAGGTTACTTTCGCGTAATTTTCCAGAATGAATGACTTAAAAAACAATTAAAAACATAAATCTTATGCCCTTTAATTTTCCAGTCCAGTAAACAAGCTGGACTGCTGTATTCTGATTCTTCTCCTCATTTATCTACTTAAGCTCATCAACTTTGTACTGTGAAATTCTTCCCCCTTAATCTATTCTGCAAGAGGTTTCTTCTTCAAGAATTCATTCAACCATAATATATAAGGGAAGCCAACACCCATGTGATTAACTTGGTCAACCCTACACAAAGGAGAGCCGGTAGAGGTTCTGATTCTTTTTTACCTTACTTGAAACTAAGTAGGAATTTATCAAAATTTCAAGTCATAACAGCACAAAGCCCTCTTCAACATTAAGAAGATTTTCTTCTTTTTTAAATAAATGACAAGGTAATAAACTACAAACTTTGCTGGTGACATGCACACTAAAAGCTTACTGATGAGTTCCATCAAAATCAACTCTCTCTCCGGTAGAAAAGAACTCGACGTCGTCGCCGCCGCTCGAGCTTAGTGAAGGGAAATCTAGGGCTTCTGTTTTTTCCCCTCTGCATCGTGTTTAAGAAGAACAAGAGATGAAGGGGTAGTCGGGTCTGCCAGCGGTTCACCTGGGTAATTTCGGGTTATATGATGGTTTAGGCGGGTCAGACGGGTCAACCCATCTAATAAATGGGTAATTTCAGGTTGACCTATTTATGACCCGACCCATATAACTTGACCCATACCCAATATAAATGGGTCGGGTCGGGTCGGGTTGATGGGTCGGGTCATAAATTGCCACCCCTAATTTCAGGTCAACATGATCCAAGGCAAATCTATGATGAAAGGGAATTTGAGCTGGATACTATCAGGCCCATCGTCATCAATTATTATGTATTCCAGGCTGCATAGATCTCTTCGTCGTAGGGGGGTGAAGTTGCTGGTTAAGGGGATCGGCGTCCCCCTTGACAGTGTCAATCTTCCTAGCCATGCGGCCTCTTGCGCTTCCAAGACAAGCAATCTCTTCTATGCAGGGGACTTAGCTGTCGATTATGAGAGAGCATCATCTCTCCCCCTGTAGTGCCGCACTTCTCAGACTAGAGGTCTTTTCTATGCAAGGGGATGACAATCTCCCTCAACAATGTTGCGATTCTGAGGCCAGAGGTCTCTTCCGCCAAGAGGACTAACCTAGGGGAGGGCAAAAACCGAAAAAAACCGGTTCAACCGAAAAAACCGCCCGAAAAAGCGGGCCGGTTAACCGAACCGGATTAAATGGATGAGAAGAAG